TACAGGCGAAAGCTAACAAGTTGACAGAATAGGCGAGGCAGCGAACACGGGACTCCAAGTGAACATAGAGAAGACAAAGGTGATGAAGATGCCCAACCAATATTAGCAGCAACAACAAGCACCAATAACCAATAATGGGAGAAACCTAATGGAAGTAGCTCTACCTAGACCCACCTAGGCAAGGCAGCATCGCTTCTGCTACAGGCAGCAGCACAGATGATGTCAAAACCAGGTTTGGAAAGACAGCAAGACAGGCTTTCATCAACCTGAAATCAGTGTGGAGATCAACTGCACTCAGTACAAAGAACAATATCCAGATTTTCAACATCAATGCCGAGTCAGTGCTGCTGTATGGTTCAGAAACTTGGCGTGTCACAAAAGCATTTCCAACAAATTACAGACGTTCATCAGCAGCTGCCTACGCTTGGTGCTGAAGATCAGATGGACAGAATAATGTGAATAAGCAACAAGGAACTCTGGGAACGAACTAACTAAGAATATATCATCCAAGAAATATGCAGAAGGAAGGGGAGATGGATTGAGTATACACTGAGAAAACCATTCGGGGACATCACTTATCAGGCCAGACCAAACCCTCGAGTGGAATCCAAAGAAGAAACGCCAAGTTGGGCGTCCGAGGCAAGGGTGACATGGAGGAGATCATGTGAAGAAGAAATGAAAGTTTGTGGTGAGATGTGGAGCCATGTTGAAAAGAGTGTATACGGTGGAGTGTAATGGAGGTGTGCTATTGAAGCCCTATGTTCCACTAGGAACCCAAGGGAAAAAAATAATAATAATAATACTCATGAAGAAAGTCAACCATCTCAGACGCATCATACTTTTTCTTTATCAAGAATAACCTGATTTTTAAAGTACTCAAGTTTTTTTTTAGTCGACGCCTTCATGGAACCGAATTCATTTTAAAAGGGTTGTATTTGCATTTCACTTGTGGGGTCGAGTTTTCTCTACTCAGCGGTTATAACACTATAGTTAGTCGTAACTCTGTGAAACTCTTTGATTTGGTAACTTGGTCAATCATATTTTACTGTTTACGCATTGATCCAAAAATTGGATAATATGAATAGGATATCCTTGTGTGAGTGCTTTAGTAAGTCCAATTTTATGTGTGTCAATATAAGCTGGGTTGGAAAAAGTTGATTCCTCTGGTGGGCAGCTGGATTATTGTTTTAATGATGGTGAAAATGTAAATTTACATTTACTAGCTAATTTCTTCGTTTTCAGTAGTTCTTATCGTCTTCCATAAAAGCTAAAATTTATTTTACCATGATGTGCTCACATGAGTCTATTGAGCGATGGGACAATACATTTAAAAAATTATTAATCTGCAATCCTCTGTGCAGAGTTATGACACATAATGTGCGTATATTCAAACTGACTACTATAAATAAATATCACTTTTCCTAGGAAAAGAGAACGCTTGTGCATATTTGAAGCCAAGCAGTCAATTTTGTAAACCGAATAAGCTTGAAATGAAGCAGGTAAAACATTTCACTTGATATAATGGAATACAGATTTACTTTCTAAAAAACTACATAACTTTTCTTATTATAAGAGTAGAGCTTCGGCACTGTGGTAGATTGTTATTCCGGTATGGTCTTTTTATTAGAAATGGATTTCTTCATGTGGACCTGTTTTTGTATGCTCATTCATTCTTTAGATCTACTCAGATTTGTTCATTACAACTGTTGAGTTTTCTTTATCAGATTTGGCAATTACTATATTGTTATCATTTTGAAGGTTCCTGAGAGCTTCTCTTTCTGGCCTGCGTAAATTAGGTTTAATTTTCTTCTGTCGTTTAAGTGTTAGATTACACTGTGCTTTTACCTCATCTGCAACTGTCTTATCTATTGAATTTACCGCTTTTTTATTTTGGGAATGATATCTAATTTCGATTTATTGAGCGTTCCATTGAAGGTAAGGCTTTTCTGTAGCACTTTTACTTCTGTTGGTCTTAGGGCTCTAGGTGAGAAATTGACAACGCACTTTGACTTATTGATCATTAGTGATGTGCTACTGTTAAATTTGTTATTGTCGACTGAATGTTGTTGCTTTATAGGTTTGTTGAACTTCTTAATTTGAATATTTTTAGATTTCTTTAATGCAACTTGTCTTTTTTATTGTAATTGTCTGTCAGAAGCTCATAGTTTTCTTCACTAACGGTTTATATCAGCTTACATTTAAGTTCTTTGATATACTTCCTGATGTTGTGCAATGTTTTGACTATTCTATGAATTTCTTCCTTGAGACAGAGTTTACTTACACGTTCTACAGAAGCTTTGACTCTCTCTGTTAGGATTGGTGGATTTAGACGTAGATATTTAGGAATGATTTGATTTCTAAGACACTGAATATTGAATATACTGTAGCTTGTGCATCTACCTTCTGTATATGAATGTTGCGTGAGTTCATCGACGTCTTCGAACAGGAAGATCATGTGTTTCATTAATACATAGTTAAAATTTGGGCAGCGTGAAAAATTGTAATCTTATTTAAGTCTGTTTATAAGAAATGTCACGGAGTGAAAGTTTCATTTACTGTAAATGATACTGTAAATGATATTGTTTCACCATGTGACATTTCGAATCAACAGATTAAAATGGAATTGCATAAACTTCGTCCAGTTCCTCAACATTATTTATCTCTTTCGAATGGTCACTGGGTGTTTAGTGATAAGCGGAATGAGGCTGATCTTTGAGTCAGCTCATTTTAATCAAACCAGGACGTTATTTTAAAACACAATTTACTTTCATAAAGTGTGAATTACCTGACTATGAGCATGAAGCACTTCTAATCAGTGATTTAAGACGCTTAATTGCACTAGTCAAAAATTGCAGTCTCAAAAACGTACTCTTTTCTTGTAGCCTTCAATATCACAAACGCCTCTAAACTTTACGTTTATTCTTACTTCACCCATATACTTTCAATGTTTCTGAACATATTAAATGTGATTTGCGCTGCTGAACCATTGCAAAGTACTGCAATCTGGAACAAAAACCAGTAGTGCAAGATTCTTTTTTGTTCTATAAACCGTCAAGAATTTCATGCACATATTACGTAGACTTTAGGCTGAATCCTTGACAGCAGTCTCATTGTATTTAGGAAAAATAGGCTGAATATAATTACTTTCAAGTGAGTAAAGACGCCTCTAATGAGATCTGAGCTTAGTAATCAAAGCTTCAGACATTACAGAGTTGTTTTACTTTGGCACATCTGTACAATGATCTTTTTGGAATTGAGCAGTGGAGTCCTTATTGTTCAGGTGACCAGGTGGAAATAAGTATGAGTAAATCAGTGCATAACTACTTTTCACCTGAAAAAGAGTAGAAGAATGTAGATCTCTCTTTGTAGATCCAATTTTTGGGACTTATAGTTATTAATGCTGTGACGTAACAAGAAAGTATTACATATTTTGATGACAAAGATTAATCAACCAGTTCATTTTTGTATAATACCTTAGCATCACTGCATTGCATATTCTTGTAAGTCCTATTAACAAGTGGTGATTATTTGCGTCATGTGATTGGAGGCAATTAACAATGGGCCGTAGACCAGGATTTCGTAATCTTAGTCCTTTTGCTAGCAGGGACTTTCTTGGCTTCAACGCGTCTAGCTACCACACGTGAGAGTGTTTCTGGGTGCTGAAGAAATACTTTGTTGGTGAGTGCCAGGAATCACGAAATCTAGGTCCACAGCATTTTATTGACTGCCTCATTCAACTAATGTGAAGATGCACTGCTATAGCCCAGTGTTTAGACCGATGATCATACTGTCAATGTTTGGCAAAATTCAATAAGCACTCGCGGCTTGACAGCATGAAATCGTCTACTTTCTAGCTACCGACGAATGTAGTAGTAGTGGTAGTTGTGGTAAGACAAAAACAGTGTGTTTCAAACTTACGCTACTTTTGACGGAATTTTGGAATAAAACTGTGTTTTGAAAGTACGAAATGCCTCTTGACTATGTTGTACATTGAGTAAAGGAATCTACTCAGAGAATTATTGTCGACGGTATTCGTTTGTTTGTCTAGTTTCTGTAACTAAGCTTAACAACTAACGGTTTACAGCTTTCTTGAATACATTCATGTGTAGTGTTTTCAATCAATCCTTTTTCATGTGCGGTTCTAACATGAAGCGAAATTATCGGCAGCATAAAGTGCAACTTAGAGAAATTACACTTTGCTCACTACTATAAGAACTATGAGCCTTTGAACTCAAAAATCTAGGCATAATTATGTTGATATTAATGACGGATTGTGGCTAACCGTGAAATCCATAAGGCACGTTTCGTCCAGTCTGGGACTCATCAGCGAAGTATGCCTTACTCACCATAAGTGATGTTGTTTCCACTAAAATGAAACCTAGGAGTAATCTCCCGAAATTCGAGAGCGTTATCTGCTAGGCTACAGATTCACGTAAGACTCTCCTTGTGTGTTGGATGTAGTATAGTTAAAAGACAATAGCGTGTTATTTCGTGTCGAAATCTGCATCTTGGATTCATCTACTGCCCACTACTCACCATTAAAATTCAACTGAAAATACTGGCAATATGGGTATAGAAGCCCATATTTCAATAGTGGCCAACTAACTTGGTCCACTCAACAACGGGAAATTGCAAGCCATAATATCAAAACATTATTCACTTCCCTGCTAACTATCCCTGGCTACATGCTTGGCAGTACGTCCTATATCTGGTGGAAATTTCAACTTTCTTGTCATATTCCTTTCTTCAGAGTAACGACAAAAACTGTAACGCAGTCAAAATAAGGTTGTCTGGTGGAAGTTTTTTTCTAAGGCACAGCCGCGTTATCTGTTTTCCATAATAGTATGCCTATGAAAACTATTTTGACGTGACGGTGAAAATCGTGGTATAAATTGTCATAGTCTATGAACAGCGTAATGCAGCATTTTTATCAATTATTTTCCTAACATTCACTTTGTGGATTTAGATATAACTCAGAAACACTACCTTTTTATTTTCAGTGGATTAATCATGATTCCGCATCACAACTACATGGCGTACAAGAAAATGATCAGCAAAAACTTAACGATACCGATCTGCTTATGGATCATAGTTTGTCTGCTCAAGAGTATGCCAGGACAGGAAACGTATGCTTTTTCGGAAATCACGGAATCTATAAAAGTAAGAACTTTAAATCCCAGACGAAAAAAGACCAAAACTCTCCACATTTGACTTCGCGGCGAACTTGTCTTTCTCTGGTTGAAGTCACTGGATCATCTGATAACTGCAAAAGACGCAGAGAAACATGCTTTGATACACTCAGTGCTAACAGTGGTATTGGGACTAATACTAAAAGCAATAATTATGACCATCGTAGATCTATTCACAAAAACGTTCCATTCACCAGTCCAGAGAGAAGGATAACAGAGGACAAAGGTGATTCCCGCTCGAAAAAAACGGTTGATACCAGCGATAATGTTGGCCAGTTAAGGTCACCTAGTCCCAACAGTAAATCTCCGAAACTTGAACGAAAACTCAGTAAGCTGTAAGTTACTGTACTAACGAGTTTCTAATAACTTTGATTTTATGATATTTCCTTATTAACAGAAGAGACCTGGTTTCTCCTTTTTTTTGGTTCGAGATATTTCAGTAGAAAACAAATTATAATACAACCGCGTTGCAGATTGATGTACTAGAATATAATGTGCAACTAATTTGGATGAGTTGACGATACTACTTAGGTTTTAATGTACGTGGGTAGAAATTGGAGGCTGAAAGATAGTGGTTGAAAGTCAAATACCTTAACTAATGGGGCAAACCACCATTGAAAATACCTTCGTGAAACTTTTAAATTTCATAAGTCTTCACATTAAGTGGGTTGATGCTGTCAGCAATTTAACGTTTTTCACATCATGAGTTAATGTTTAAAATTCAAACACAATTTCTGTGCATACAAACGGATTATGTTACTTTAGTCTTTTGCACTGATAAATTTTTATAAATTCCATTTACGTTACCTAAAAATACTAATCGAAGCGAACATGAAGATTTTGCAGCAATACCTGTTATTAAACGAAACAAACAAATTACTGACTAGTTCCGGAAAAAAAATTATGAATGAAATGGCATATTTTATTTTGAATTTATTGAGTCTCTTTCTGAACTATTTTACTCTTTCTAAAAAAAGATTCCATGGAGGAATGAAAATGGATAATGGTGAAAGCATTTTTGGGAGATATATATAATAATGAAATGAAACTTGACTCATAATACTTAAAATCTTCTATGCACTGTAGTACAGATCATTCAAATTATGGCTTCACTTAGATCTAAATGTACTCAGGTGAACTACACTGTTAGTTTTTGCATTGAGAAAAAGTAAACTATAGACACTGTTTCAAATTCTAAAAATCTAGTAGTGAGTGTGGATAGTATACGAATTTTACACCTTGTGGCAATACTATGCTCAGAGTTATTTAGTACACTTAAAATAACAGAAGACTAATCAATTATAAGAAATATAGTTCAAACGTCATTGGGTTTTTTTACACATTTGAGAGCATGAGGTGTATGATGTACCAGACTACCTTTGACTTTTATTTCTTAACCCAACATACTCAACGCAACTAAGTTAAAATGTCCTTTTGATAGGACTAAAACAGATGCCGACTATTACAAATTGAACGGAACTTAAGTAGGCGTTTTTGGTGTAAATCGAAATCAGTAGTTTTGCTTTCCTGGTAAGTATAGTATCATTGAAAGTAATCACATCATGTAGGATTTAATGCACAACGAGATATTTTACTTACCTTTATTCATGTAACATTGTTTTACAAATACTTGGCTATATGTATGAAATCCCTTTTGATATATTTATTGTTGCATAGACTACTTATATGATAGCCAATGGCCATGAAACCATTCCAGTCAAATTATTTATCATTAAAATTCCCCGAAATCAGGAACTTTGGGCTCTACATGCAGGGATTCTAATAACTCAGTATTCAGGATTACATTATTCCACCTAGACTTGCCGCTACTGGAGTTTGATGCACACTCATCAGCTTACCAATTTAAGGGGTCCTGTTTCGGAAAGCTGCATGTTTATACCCGTCTTCTCTTTTTATTTATCAGAGAAGCAATCCTTATGTTGCGTTTCGTCCAGCGAAAAATTTATTTGAAATGATCAACTACTTTATGTCGGCTCTATGCACTTTTAATCGGTTAATTGTTATCGTATTTTTGATGTCGATTGTCACATTATCAGAAGTGCGATTAGTCTGACCTAAAATCTTTTCCTCTTGCCTGCGGAAAACTCTTTAAATATTGTCCGTACATTTGTTATCGAAATACTAGGCCTTCCAAAAATAGAACTTATCCTCATTATTCCGTTTAAATTGCTTCAGTATATGCAATCATATTACTGAGTATTTGTCTCACTTGAATCAGTGGCATGATTTATACAAGGTAGCTAACAAAGTTCAAGAGTCACATACTTGTGAAATTACCAGCAGAAAAATGTTTTAAGTGCTTCTTCTTAAAGTATAAAGAATACTAACCGACAAATAATTAATACATTATCATGCCAGATGTAGACACAAGGGTTTGGAGTGCAGATTATGTATTTTTAAAAACATTACTGATATGAATGACTAGCTTTGTTTATGCTTATCAAAGAATAAATACCCAATTCTGATCAGCTAAGATATATATAACAGTAGTTTAACTAAGGTTATCGACATTATATACTTTAATATCATACAGTGAACAAAACAAAGAAAATTTTCTCAAATCAAATGAATTTTTAGTTAGACTTTAGTAAACTATTCTACAACTCTAAATGTTACAGAAAAGTGATGTTAGAGAATGTAAGCTCTACAAGAATACTTGTTTAGTCATTACTTTATTGTAGAATAGTTTTCTCTAGACAAAATATGTTAGGATTGGAGCTGAAAAATTGCATGTCTGTGTGTTAATTCACTTTTAAAAATGTAGACTACCGAAGTTCAATATGTATTAACTGATGGTCAGAGGAGTTGACAGAAACAGTAAACAACGTTTTTTTTCAAACTGATAGTATCTTCATCTGCTAAAAACCTTCAACTATTTATTTTCTTAAATTGTATTCATTACAAGTATGTGTAACTCAAGTGAGACAAATATCTGCATAAAATATGAACTATATACTGTCCATTGCGGTGCTTGTTTCGATAGAAATAGCGATGACGATTCTCTGTAAAAATGCAAAGATTTAAACAAAAATAATCTAAAGTTTTTATTATTTCAGTGATTGCTTTTCAGTCTAATGGTCACAAAAATCTCCCTCTGTCTCTGAAATAATTTATATTTTGCTAGAAAACAATGTTACTAATTCCGTTAAAGTTCCGTTTATATAACAATAGCAATCCAGTTAGTTAAGTCAGTCATCAGATTACCAAATATTTATGGGATTTTCGAGAAAATAATGTCTAAGAGGAATGATTTCAATGTGTTACTTGGTTATCCGCAAAACGTTCATGACTAGCAAACGTTATTCATTGGTAATAAGTTCAGGAAAAATTACAAACAGAAGTAAATTCCAACAGTGATCAAATTTTGCTAAGTGACAGTAAAATATTGTTCTGTGTGTGATCTTACAGTATCATCGGGTTCACAGGCCATAGATAAGTCACTGCCGAGTGAGTTCAAAGCGTACTATGATAGTTCTTACTGATTATGAGTAAGGAAAAAATTAACATTAGTTATCTAAATTATGATGAACTCATCCATAAGCTAAATGATTTTTAATGTTTGACTAAGTCAACGGTTAGTCAATCGTTTGACTATAAACCGACAATATGAACACATCCGTGTAAAGTAGGCAGTTTGTCTGTAGTAGTTTTGTAATCTTTAAATGCTATCAACATCATGACCTTCATAATGTTTTGTTTGTCTTCTCTAAACTTGACCTTCAAAAGCCAAATCACTCAAAAATTTATGTTTGGATCTGTGAAGCATGATATATTTACTGTTAATTACCGAAGAATCTACTTCAATTCATTTTGACTTTATTGTTAACTATTCTCTTCAACGCTTGTGTCACAGCTCATTTGGCTCAGAAAACAGAATTTAATTGAGTTAATTTGATGATACTTTACATTAACTGTTTCTTCTGACTAGAAATTCAAAGCAATGGGAAAATTAGAACTAAAGGAAAGGCCTAAAAAAACTTTGCTTGATTGAATTGAAGGGTTCCAATTAACCATTTGATTAGCACAAATGCTTTGGAATCATATCAGTGGAAATGAGAAAAGTAGGTCAAAAAACTTGTAAATAAGCTCTACTATTCGTAGGAAAATTAATTTTACCATCTAGAAATAAGGAAAATGATTAAACTGTAGAAAGATAGTGGTCTTTGAGATAGAAATGGTGAATACCAAAAGAAAAATATTCATTTCTAATAAGCTGAAAGATTTAAGTTAGTCAAAGGGCCTAAAATGGATAACGTTTCAACAGTTAAGATAGGACTGAGAGTAAATCAGAGAAAGTCTAAAACATGACGTTAGTAATGATGAAACTGATGAAACACTAGTCTCCTGGACACCATATTCTGTTTTGCTCCATCGATGGCAGATGAAGAACGACATGTTTACTCATATAAACAGTTTATCTCTTCCATAATAAACAAAACGGCAAAGTTTTATTCCAAAATTCTCAATTTTCAAAACTACAAATAAGTTAAGTACCTCTCAAAGAATCAGTTATCACAGTTTTACTTTCGTATTGATCTGAGCGTGAATGAGGTACCAAAGAACCATTTCTAAGTTGTCCGAAGTTTGAGATTAATTTTTTTAATGGAAGGAGCACTAGTTCTCGATAGTCAATCCTTGGAGGATTGATTTTACACCCTTATCTAATTCACCACTAACTGCAAAGTCGTAGCACCCAAAATCTCGCAAGCTTCATGAGCACAGTAATAATATATATAAACTATGATCAAGATTTGATCATATAGTGTGGCAAAGTGGCGCTGAGTAAAAAGTTGACGTTTATATACAGATTATTTTTGTGCAAGTCACAGAAAAGTTAAAATCAAATGATTTCAAACGCGTCGCATGGAAGCCTGGTCTGAGCTTCTTCAGGGAGATAATCAAAATCAAAATATCAAGATATATATATATATATATATATATATATATATATAAATGAGTCCGAAGACATGTAATTAGTATCCTTTTCTAATCCTTTTCGGGTAGTCATTGTCTTTCTCAAACATGATAACTAACCATTCAATTGAAATTGTATTTATCTTGCTGTATACCTAGCGTGTATGTGTGTGTTGCCATTCATATTATCTTTGATGTCAGACAAACGGACACATTATCAGAATATATTTTAATATGGTTCCAAAGTGAGTTTTCTTGTGACCTTTGTGTAAGAAATTGTCTTCTTTCATGACAGTATTGTAACGAAACTAGTTTTCCCCTCAAAAATAGGAGATACTCAGGCAAATATTCATGACTTTTTGAACAGTTGCAGAGGATGATTACGATTCATCAGTTAGAC